TGTTTGTGTGGTTGTCTTATTATTAACATGAAGGTAATATGCATAAAGGGCTTACCAACTATAGTGCTGTATAGGACTTAGTCATCTTTAGGAGGTGACTGTCTTACCATAACTCAAATACAATGACTCCCTCATTGTGGCAGCTTTCTTGACAGCAAAAGTAATTTAAGAAATGTCATACTTTCCTGATGCTCTTAAGGACACGCCACCTTAATTATTGTTAATTGAACAACAAGTAATATTGGACTATATCTATTAAGTCCTTGTCAGTTTGGCTATGTTTTACAAGCTTTAACATGGATTAATGCATCATAAAGTAAAACAAAACAAAACAAAACAAAAAAACAAAAATCAAACAAAACAAAAAAATGAGTCACACATTTGGCAGGAAACCCATTTCAGGAGGCATCAAGTTTCTTTACCTTAAAAGTCAGTAATCTATGACCTGCAGATAATTTAGGCTTGCTACTTATTTTTTGCAGATGAAATTTTAGAGGAATGCGGCTATATTAATTCAAGTTTTATGTGTGGCTGCTTTTACATTAACTGGCCGAATAGAGCAATTGCAACATAGATGGTATGGCTTGCAAATCCTAAAATAATCTGGCTCATTACAGAGAGGTTGGCTGACTCTGCTCTAATAAACTAACATGTCTATTGAAAGAATGCCTGAATATCATAGGCCACCATCCAGTAGTTAGCATTTGTATTTATTCATGAGGCACCGCCAGCACTGTGTATTATGGTATATGGACTGGGTTCTCAATTCATTTGGAAGTTGATATAAGTATTACATGTCTGTTTTCTACACTGTTTACCAAAGACCTGACCATACATATAGGCTCCAAATTTTTAATATTGCTGCTATTTACTTTTTAGTTATCACATTCAAACAATAAAATGTTAAACATTATATGTGCAAAATTCACAAGTGTCAAGGGACTAACCAAAAAGATGATTATAAAAATGCAATTTATGTATTACTAAGATAAAATGTCATTCATTACTAATAAAATAAAATATTAACATCTATTAACAATTCTGCTTTCCCATTCAATTGCTCATTATGTTTCAAACAGGTAGAATTTAAAATTCTAATTGATAGAAGTGGAAAGAAAACATCTCCTCTAGTGATTTTTATTTTTCATGAGCTTTGTTACCAAAAGTGTATTAGGGGCATGAAAAGCACCATCCCCTCTCTTCTTCCCACCTCTTCCAAAGAAAAAGAACTATTAGCTCTGGTGAGAAAGAGAAAAGATAAAGAAAGAAAGCCTGTTTACTTGTCCCAACAATAATGCAGTAGAGCAAAGGTATCTGAAAGGCATACAGCAGAGTTGCACAATAAATAATTAACCCAAACCAAGTACAACATGTTTATGTGTATATATAGTAGAACAATGGAGTTCCTTTAATCTAGTTCTTAAAAAGCTGCTAGATATTTTATTATGTTACTAGATGCCTAGTGCATGAAAACACATGCACTGGTGGGGAGTCTTTCAGCCCGATCTGCACCCTCTCATAGTTTGGGAGCGAGCCCTCAGGGGCTGGAAGCGATCTGGTAATCATGGGAAGGCTACACCTCCATCACACCTCTGTTGCTGCCACTGCCGGTAGCGCAAGCCCTGGGTACCTGAGCCTCCGGAGGGCTCTGTGCGGCTGGACAGGCACCATCCAAGGCTTACCTACATCTCAGGCTAGCCCTGGGTGAATGAAGGTTTGAAGGTGGGTTCAGCCGCACCATACACCTGCTACCCCCCAACCCCCAGTGGCGCTGAAAGGACTGAGGGACTCCAGCGGGGCTACAGTGACTGGGCACCACCATCTTGTGGCTATGAGCACCACCATCTTTAGGACAGCATGATGGTCAATTTAAATATTTCCTCTTTATTAGATAAGATATGTCATAGGCACACATGTATTTATCCACAAATAACTACCTTGTCTTTCTAAAGCATTGGCTACGAAGTCCCTTTTGCTTAATATCAGGATCACTGAAGGGCTGTGTTTTACTTACACTTCAACTGACATCGTTATTTAAAATCCTAATATATTGAGCTCCTGCACACCTTACTATGTATTCTCTTTCTATCTCATGCTCCAATAACTATGACTTCATATTTCTTTCTTTGCTTTAAGTCAGTTTGGATAAGTGAGACTGCATGGCTGCATTATTCATACAAGTCTTCATGCAGTGCAACGTAAATTGGTTTCAATGGCACCTCCACAATTGTTCTTGGAGTTAGTTGGAGCTAACTTATTTCATGGATTCATTATAATGGATATCCATATGTATAATGAAGAATTCTAAAGAGCAAAACATGGTTTATTGCAAAATGTCGCATGCATATTTTATCTCTGCCTATTCACCTATGAAATTATAATGTTCCAATTTCTACCTTATGGAAATGTCAATGTTCCATCATATTAATACCAATTTTGTACAGATAAATGCAAACACATTGTTATAAAATTAAGTAAAAAATAAACAACATCATCTCTATTCATGCTGTGTTGTTTGCTTTCCTGTTGAGCAGCTAGGAACTTGCTTAAGTACTTTTTTCTTCAATCTGTGGACAGACCCTTGTTTCTGCCCTCAAATCTCATAGCTAAAATGTAATTTAATTTCCTTTGGTTTCAGCACTTTCTCATAGCAGAAGGTTAACTTTGAAAAAGTAATATTTTTAAGTTTCCTAAATCAGAAAAGAAAAAAAGGAGCATGTCTGTTATTATATAAGAAGTCATATGCCACTTCTATAATAAATTGGTTGTTCTATATCCCAGATATTGTAATTTATAAAATTAATATGTGACATTTAAATCTTGCCACAATTCCATGAACTGGATAATACCTATTTTATAGATAAAGAAAATGATGTTTGAGCTATACATACAGTAAAACAACAATTCCATGTAACATTAAACACTCTCTCATCCTGACCACAAAGTTAACAATTACCATAGTTTGATGGAGATAATTATTGAGAATGGATACAAGGAAACCTGTAAATGCAAGGTGAATATTGGTAATTTGAAGATGGGATGATTTCAATTTCATTTTTGGGGGGGAGGAAATTATTACAAATATCTCAGAGTATACTTAAAATAGGCATATCTCATATTTTCGCCAGATATTTGTTTCTGGCCTCTGTTTTTACTCTCTAGCATTAATGCAGGGTTTGTTTGTTTTTGTTTGTTTGCTTGTTTACCTCTTTATCAAACCATTTGCCCTGTGGTAGGATCATTGAAAATGAAATCTGTGCCTATGCCCAAGCTGCAATTTTTGCAGGGAGTCCTTTTACCCAGCTTTTGACATCTAGTTGTCGTCAGCTGATGTTAGTCCAGGTTTCCTTACCTTTGCTGAAATGCCCTCATGAATTGTGCACCTGCAGCCTCGCTTACTGTGAACTAGTGTCCTGGGTCTTGTTGAAGCACAAGTGTTACTTGTTTTTTTGACACTTTTCTTGCCTACATGTTTCTCCTGCCATTTGTTTCCATTGCAGTACACTTTTATCACTGCCCCACAGTGAAGTAGGTAAGCTACATAGAAGGGGATTTATCTTTATGCCACAAGAAGGTAGAACATGAAAAAGAGCATTATCTAATGTGATGAAAACCTAACTTTACTGATAAAATGAATGCCTGGCCTTATCATTTTGTCAACTAAGAGCTTTAACCAAAGATGCTATTTCTCCTAACTCTAATGGTGTCCTCTTTTATTCAAGTTCGCTGTGCTGGCCCACTGTGTTTTCAAATATTTATGTATTCATAACTCATTGTGGTAATGTTGATTTGTTTTTGTGATTGCTCCTCTTGACTAAGTTAGGTGTGATAGTCAATTTTGATTATAATATAAAATAGCAAATTGTTACTCTCCTATCTGATATTATATATATTGAACACACACACCCACACACAGTCACACACACACACACACACACACACACACCCTACCACACACATAGATACACATTCACATATAGATCTCAAAGTTTTAGAACATTTTACAATAAATTATTAGTAAAAATAGTTCCATGAATTTAATAGTTATCATATATCAAGAAATTAGTTGTATTTGCATTTGTTCTTAGTCAAATGCTTTAAAAATGCCAATTGTTTTCAAAATTTGAACAAAGTTACAGTAAACATTCTTGGGCATATGTCTGTATCAATTTGTAAAACTATAACAATTTGTGCAATAAAAATAAATAATGTAGTATTAGATTATAAGACAAAATATAAAATAATAGCTGAGTGCACATTGATATACATAAATTACAAAATTAGTGAATTAATGAGTGAATGAATAAATGAATGAATGAATACATGCACAAACAATCAAACAAACAGATGGAAAGAGTAAAGAAATCTATCTTGCAGAGGAATTTCAAATAAATATTGTAGTTTGTTTATTTGTTTTTTTTGTCTAAAGAGGTAGAGTTTAACTCCCAACTTCTTAGTGTGGGCTGTCTTTAGTGACTTGCTTGCAAGGCACAGTATGGAAAGGAAGAACAAAAGTCATGCTGGTGACATGCACCCTTAATAGAATTTGCTGAGCATGATGCTACTTTACTACCTCTGTGGTCTTCATCCAAAAATCAGACTGTTTGATCGTGAGAAAAAATTAGGCAGGTTCTACTTGAGGGATGTTCTGATTATCTCTCTTCAAAACTCTTAAGATCATCAAAAGAGAGAAATTCCGAGAAACTGCCACTGTTCAGAGGTACTGAGACTATTTGAAGACTAAATTGGGACTGAAAAGGGAATATAGAGAAAAAATAATGAAACCAGAATAGTGATATAAATATTGGTTCCTTTGACTTCATGCACCAATATTATAAAAACTTGAGACAAATGTACCATTGCAGTGCAAAATACTAACAATAGAAGAAATTGGATGTAGGATACAAAAGGACTCTGAACTGTCTTTCTAAAGTAAATAAAGTTCTAAAATGAATATATATTTTAAAATTGACATTACAATTTTGGGTATGTTTGTCTTTCCAGCTGTGCTTGGCTCTATTTGGGAATATAGTCCATTTGGAACTCACCAGCAGTTTGGGATTTTAAAGGATGCCAGACTTCTTCAAGGTAGGTGACATTTAAATATATTCAAGATATATGCTTTTAACCTCTTAATCACTACTTCAAAATTCAAAATCATTAAAAATGTCTTTACTTTGAGATACTTATTTCATTAAAATTCATATTATTCAAATATTTTTCTAGTGACAGGTGGTTGGTAAAAATATGACAAAACCATGAAACTTAAGGAACTATTTCTCTTAGCAAGGGTTATATATTTCTAAGCTTCCTCACTGTGTGTTTCTTACTGTTTCAATTTGCAAGTAGATTTGAGAAGAGCTAGTGTGTATGTGGCTTCTAAAGATAGAAATTGATGTTTACCTTTTACCCTATTTTTTTAAGACACTTTGCCTACTCCTTCACAATTAGTAGATATTGTTTTTGTTGAATTGGTTGGGTATTTCTCATTTCAAAGGCATACCTGAAGCTCTGGCACAAGAAAGAAAACGACTATGGCACCAATTTTCTTGATTATTAATATTAATATTGCATAATGGAATTCTATTGGTTCTGGGGCAGGCGATTGTAGGCTGCTTTTTCTTTGCTGATAGCACGAATCTAAACCCTCAGATTTAAAAACTCGCAGTTGACCTGCTGGCGACACTAATTAAAGCACTGCCCTAATACTCCCTGCTTAGTCATTGTAGCATCTAGTCTTAGGCTGGAGCCAAATCAGACATCACATTGGCAGTTCTCAGTCAGTGAGCAGTAAGATCAGCTATGGATATAATGGCTAAGAAAGAAAGAGGTTGATGAGACGAGGCAAACGTACTAAATGAATAGGGATTTATGGGACTTGCTGTGACATCTGTTAAACTCTCTCTGCATACTCATAGTTAATAACTACTCATTAAATATTATCTTTTTGTTTCCCATTTTTATTTGGTGATACATTTATTCAAATGATGTTGTGCTGGAGTCTACTTTCATAATATTATCAGTGAACTTCATGTGTCAGGTCTGAATTAAACTACAGAAATGTTTAGATAAAATTGTTCAAGACTAAAAGTTTGAAATGCAATTAAGCATTTTATACCTAAATACCACTGATTTCTCATCCCCGGTGGCATCTATCCATTTCATCTTTCAGTGTATTTTCATCAATATTCAGATTTTTCATATACAGACTACTTCTTTTACCTTATAAAATTTTGTATTATATAGAAAATTGGACTAATTTTAAAATTCTTATCTTGAATAATATTGGAAGTGGGGCTTCATTCCAGACCATATACTCAGACTGATAGAGTAAAATAAGTTAGTCCTTAAATTTAATTCCAGTAACTGGCAAGTTGTTCTTCTTACAAAACCATGATTTCATCAACGTAAATGTTATCTGGGTTGCAGGTATAGGTAATAACAAATTAAGCCCATGCCATTGTAATTATTAATGTGGGGCTTTGGATCTTTTTATTTGTAAGCTTAATTAAGCTTTACATATCCAAAGATTCAAATGAAAGAGGAGCATATTTCATAATCATCCTTTGGTTCTTTCTCTGTACTATAACCACATATACAATAACTGTCACAACATGTGTGGGGTATTTTAAACCATTTGGAATGTTAGAAAATGATATCTATACCAAATATGAAGATAGTTGGTCGATAAATCAGAACAGTTGATCCAAATGATAAAGAATCTTGAATAAAATTTGACTGTACCTGGGCAGTGGGTTTTATGTTGTATATGATTTGGATCTATACCTATTGTTTATTTACTTAAATGTTTTTATTTATTTTAGAGAGAGAGGGAGTGAGGGGGATAAAGAGATAGAAGCATCATAGATCATTTGCCTCCTGTATGCCCCCTACTGGGGATCAAGCTCACAAATGGGCATATACCCTAACAGGAAATCAAACCAAGGACATCTTGATTTATAGGTCTATGCTCAACCACTGAGCAATACTAGCTGTACTGTTATTTATTTTTGAATTTAGAGAAATAACTAATCACAGCCATGTGTGTATACATATGTGTATGTGTGTGTAAAATAATGATTGCTGGAAACGTATTTGGGAATTACATTTTTTTAATCTTTTAGAAGGTCTGATTTAATCTTATTTCCGTACTTTCTTACACAATTACTTATATGTAATCAGTATTCAAGGTGGATTTGTTTATTTAGAGATATATTTAAATAATTTAAGGTTTTAACTAAATCAAATCCCTCCAGAATTCCTTCATAATTTATTTCATTATGACGAGGAGCAAAGGGAAGTCACCAAAGGAAAGGTTTGTAAATGACAGAGGCTGTCATGGACACAAAGAAATCTAGTTTCTATGTTTTCAAAATTTAAAAAAGAATATCTTCAAGGTGTTAGTCTGAATATCAAGCTCTGACACTGAGGGAACACAGTCTCAGCAGTGATGAGCTGAAGCAGGAGGTGATGAAACCCCAGAGAACAAGGGGTCTGCTCTGCCAGGGGTGGGTCTGAGCATTGCTGGTGTCAGTGCTCACAGCTCCCTGCTGAGTTGTCAATAGGGTAAAGAAATGAATTACAGAGCCATCTGTTAAAAAAAGAAAAAGAAAAGAAATGTAGTGTGTAAAGCATTAATAACCATTCTTTTGTAAATTTTGTTGGCATCGTTTTTTCCCTGATGGGTTATTGTTTGGGTTGCAATTAGCACATCTGAAGAAAATAAATGCTTGGATATTTCTAATTTTTGGTAATTGTCAAAGGTTAGTCATTTGAAGTATGCCTGTTAGGATGTGACAATGGGCTTATTGTAAATTATGATTTATCATCTACACAGCATAATAAGCACAGAGAGAAAGGAAAATGCAGAGGGACTCGACTCTTTCAACTTAGACTCTGTGAAGCTTCTCATTCAAAAGAAAGGATTTTTTTTTCTAGTTACTCATGATTGCTGCAAGCTTACAGGATTATTAAAACAGATTTACTACAAGGGGTATTCGTACAAGAAAAACAAAGTCTAAAAAAGATACTCCAAACCTGAATAGGTAGCTCATTTGGTTAAGAACCATCTCTATATGCCAAGGGTGCAGGTTAGTCCCTGGTCAGGGCACATGCAGGGATTGCTAAAAGTAGGTTTATAGTTGTGAGTATGTAAAGCACAGTTTATTCTTGTTTTATTGTTCATTAGTTATGATATTATTTTCCATTCAAACGTTTGCCCTTCCCTGTACAAGAATCCACCAATGAATGCATAAGTGAAATAACAAATCAACTCTCTCTCTCTCTTTCCCTGTCTCTCTCTCCTCTCTCTCAAATGAATGTTAAAAATATATATTGAAAATATATAAATAAGTGAAATAAACTCTAATATGTCATGAACTTTTCTTTATGTAATTTTGTATTTATTTACTCAATATTATTGTAAAGATCCATCGGCCACAAGATGCTTTTAAAGCCTTGCACACTCAATAGAGACTCAAAAGTCTCTTACATGTGTATTTATTCCATGACATATAGTTTCTGTTTATTTTAGAGGTCGCCTTCCTTCTCTGAACCTAAAGATGACGGTTCTTTAAATAAAGAATAAATTATAAGCAAATGGGAGATTTTGTTTTTTACCTTTAAATAATCCCCTTTTGTATGGCATGCTGCTCTGATATTATGTGACAGTTCATAATCTAGGTTACTGTGCTATCATTTAGGTTAGCTTACAGTTTCTTCAGTCCATAAACAAGTAAAAATGCATTTTTTATATATATTAAATGCATTTAATATATATATTAAATCCTGCAGGAGAGAGGAAGAGCATGCTCGGTTATGGTCTATGGGACAACAATCCATAATTTACTTTGCAGATGTCTGTGTAATTTAGCAGCAGGGAGAACAACCACACAGTGGTAGCTGCTCTGGGGAAAGGATACCAAGAGCCTCATAAATCATGAGGAAGATTAAAAGCAATGAGCATTCATCTTCTTAACCTCGTAAAGGCAATATCGGAATGCCAAGGATTAGAACATCAGGTGCAAGGAAACGTCCTGCAGGGAAGAAGTCTAAGAGTTTTTAAGGCTTCTCTCAATTAGCACTGACCTGACATTTGCAAGTCAGCAGAGTGTGATTTTAAATTTGATAAAAATAGGCCTCTTCCACATCAAAACAGGGTGATAACATTTATCTCTAGGGTATATTAAAAGTAGAATCAAATTATATAAAAATGTTAGTCATTTTCTTAGATTGAAATACATTCCTTCCTGGACATTATATAGAAATAATATTAAAATATCCAACTCCCAAAGAACTTTTTATTTAGCTAATAAACATGTTTAAGTAGTGAAATGTCATGCGAAAATTCTATCTTCAAAATAGTCAAATGAAGGAGATTCAGACAGCTGGGTCTCTTGTATAACATTTAGTAAATAAATGGTCTGTTACTAATTATTTATATTGAAAAATTATTCTAATCAAAGGTCTTTGGATGCAAATGAGAAAATTGTACACAGTGAAAGATTTCATTTTCTCATGAAAATAGGGAACTTTAATCAAATTTTCAAGTTTTGAAAAAATGCTAATTGGTTAATATCCTAGTATTCCTTTATATCAGGTTCATGATACAATTGAACTTGACAATTTGATAAAAACACCAGGATAGAACAGAAAATAAAATCACTTATTAATGGATAATTATGATTTTATGAAGGCAACACAATAGATTCTAGCTTCTGATTCCCTTGCTTAATATCAAATATCCATTGGCAAAGATTTTGTGTGTGTGTATATGTGTGTTTGTGTGTGTAACCAGTACTTTATTTTAGTTAAGAGGGACTTCAGTATGACTAATCTGGAGTGTCTGATGATTAAAAATATTCAACCAAAAGACTAATATGCATATATTCATAACCCATGAACAGACAATAGTGTGGTGAAGGCCTGGGGAGGGGGGAGAATGGGGTGGAGGAGGTCAATGAGGGGAAAAAGGGACCTACAAGGCAGGATCATCACAGTTCCAGGGGCATCTTCTTCCCAAATGTGTGAGGCCAGCTGAGCCCCCTTTATCTTAAATCCAAGCCAAGAGTGAGATGGGAAAGACTGAA